CTTTTACTTTTGAGACAGGGTTTCCGTAAGTCACTAAGTTGCCCAGGTTGGACTTGAACTTGTAATCCTCCTGCCTTGGCTTCCTAGGGTGCTAGGATTATAGGCATGTTCCATCACGCCTGGCTATAAATAAAGTTTTAATGGGACAAATCCATGCCCATTCTCTTACACATTGTCTATGGCTGCTGTGGGTCTAAACAATAGATTTAAACAGTTACAACAGAGATCTGAGGGCCTGAGAGATTACTGGGCCTTTTCCAACAAAGTTTGTTGATTCTCTGCTCTAAGGGGCAAACTGCACAAGCAGGAATGGGTCCTGTTTGCTGCTATCAGAGCACTAGAACACCCTGGTATGTGACAGGTGTACTGTGATGGCTTGCACATTTTATATTATTTGGGTTGTCGGGGGAGGGTATACTGGGGATTGACCCTCAGAGCCTGCATGTACATTACCACTGAGCTGTGTCCTCCAGGTCTCCGTCTTTGTTTTAGACACAACAAATAAGCACCTATTTCCTAAGTCATCACTAATAGTTTTCTCCATTTTGCAGCCGAACACATTCCTGAGCAATACCATAACTCATAAAAATAAAGCCTGATAAAAACTTGAAAAAAGTCAGCCTAGGAAAAGAGAAGCTCTCATGGTTAACAAAAAAGATTTTAAAATCAGAAGGACAGAGTTAGAATCCCAGCTCAGCCATGAAGTAATTGGTAGGCCGGGGCATGGAACAAGTCCCAGAATCTTAGCACCCTCTAATACAAAGTGCAAACGCTAGCACTGACTTCTGGTGTGGAAAGGCAGGTCCAGCTGGCTGGGAATCGGACAAGACTGGAACCACGAAGGCCATTAGGAGCCCGCAGTGATTCAGGCAGGCCCTCAGCAGGCTTGTTAGAAATAATTAGATAACACGTCTTCTGGTGTTCTGAGAACCATTATTTTAACATAAAATGAGCTTATGAAACAATGTTCCGTACAACAGAGCTCGAACCTGCTGCACTGTAATTATTTGTTTCCTGGACTCCCTTCTAAGCCTGGTGCTCCCAATGAATGGAAACTCGAGCTACCCGCCACCTGACATTTGATCTCACATTTCTCCTGTCGTACCACGTGCCGTGCCCGACACAGCAGGGGAACCAAACACCTGTCAGGTGAAAAAATGAATATGGAATTAGAGTTGGCAGGTCCATGGCCTTCTGCCACACCTGGAGAAGGCCAGGGGACCAGGGAAGCTTAGACTGACCGTATGGACTAGAAAATGACAGCGTTTGGAGCTGAGCTAAGTGGAGGAAAACCAGCCTCCCCACCCGTTTTTCGGTGTGTGACAGATGGACTCACTCCAGTGGCTCTGAGCATAGTCTCGGACAGGAGCCAGTGCCCGCTCCTTAGGAAGGACTCACCCCTGGATTTGGGCTGGGCTCTCTTTTGTGTTCCTCCCCGATCTGCACCTCATCGGAAGCCCTGCTTTCTCTGTGCCCTCAGCGTGGGAGGCCCTTGGCCAGCAGCGCCTTCAGCCAAGCGTTAAACTAACTGCAAGATCCTGGGACCTGAATTGCTACACAGATCTCTTTCCTGTACTCCAGGAAATCCACCTTCTGGTCCTGCCCGTCTGACACCTCTGTCAGTGTGCCCACTGAGGCCCCACTCCTTCCGTCCACATGGGACTCATCATCCCCACCAGATATGGTCTTCTGACACTCTCCTCTAACAAGGGTACCAGATGCAAAGGAGACCAGCGCGAGCTCTCGCAATGCCTGCATGTGGCCTCCTACCCCGCTCAGTTCCCCAGCTGTCCCTCAGTTCGGCAGGCTGGTCTCCTGCTTACTCGCTGGAGGTCCCCACAGCTTTCCTGCTTCCAGCCTTGTCCAGTTCCAATTGGGCTGCAGATCTCTTTGTTAGGGCCAGGGACAGAGCCTAGCGACACAGCACCTACCTGGCAAGTGTGAAATCCTGAGTTTGATTCCTGGTACAAAAAAAGAGATCTCTTTCTAAACCAGAAATCAGATCATATCACATTCCCTGCTAGATGCACTGACAATGTCTAAGCCCAGAAGCTCCGCATGGACCCGTGCTGCCCATCCAACAGTCAGGCCCAGCTGGAGGAGTAGCGGGGTCAGATAATCGCCAGGGGTGCACAGGACGAAGACTCTGCATGGAAACACCTCACTCAGAGTCATCCAGATTGATTACATATTGAAATGATAATGTTTGGGGATATATATGGGCCCGTCAAAATATATTGTGACTGAAAACTTTTAAAATGTATTACAATGAAAGACACAGTGCCTTCATCCGCCTCAAAATATCCCCCCTTCGCTCTGAACACACTTATCCCGTCTCTCTTCCCACTTCCTGAAGCAGCTCTGGAAGTCTTCTCTCACGAGTGTCTTTACAAGGTGAGATCAAAAATACAGTGAATGCCGCTGCTGAGTCCCATCCAATGGAAAGCCAGGCCCATCAAAACACGACGGTGTGTCCTCGCCCACCCTCCTCACGGATCTGGTACTGTGTGACTTGTGGCTTTGCCCCCAAAGTCAAAACGCAAACACAAAAGGCAAACGCTGTCAATCAATTCAGGACATCAGGTTAGCTATGACAGCGCAACTAAAGACACTCATGAAAGAGGACTTCCAGAACTGCTTCAGGAAGTGGCAGGAATGACAGACAAGGGTGTGTGAAGCTAGCTGGAATACCTGGAGGGGAACTGCGCCAATACATTTTTTAAAAAACATTCACTACACTTTTTTTAGTCACACTTCATATAAGCTAAATAAAGTATATTTTAAAATTAATTTCATCTGATTTGTTCAAATACTTTTCAATGTAATAGAAGAGTTAAAGTTCTGTGTGTGCCCCTACTTCAGTGGACAGCAGCAGTGTAGAAAGAAAGCCCTTCTGATCTTGCTAGCCCCTTCTGCACACTCTCACTGCCAGTGTCTACTGTCACCACCTTCACACTGCCCTCTACCCGCAAGCCCTCAGCTCCGGCACTATTTGCAGGTTCCTGAATGGCCTGCTTTGCTTTCTGGGCTTTGTATATGAGATGCACCCTCTGTCAGGACAAGCTATTAAGTGAGCTCCTTCTGGTCTTGGAACTCAGTCTTGTAATATCTGGGGGGGATTTCCTGACCACAGTGCTGTGTGTTCCCCATTCTGGCCAACAGCACCATGTCTCCACAGACACCTGCCACACATCTACCGCCCCTGACTTGAGCCCGATGCCAGCTGGGTATAGGTTCTCTGCATTGTACTCCTTACCGGGTCACCAGAATAATGACTAGAAATTCTGGGAATACAGTATATATGAAACTAAAGATAAAAAGAAATGCAATAGAAACTTATAGCCTAGGTGGCTGATAAAAGGCAGGCTAAACACAGCCTTAAGAAAGTGCCATCACCAAAAGAGATTTAAAAAATACTAGGAGGTTGTGCTCTAAATTTTGCATTCAAAATGGTTAAACCTTTTTAAAGGATAATCTGACACAGGTATGCCACTGGCTGGACAATGCCACACCTCTAGATCTGAGCTACAGAGACCTTTATATTTGTACATGCAGCATCATTTGTAAAAGCAGGGGGAAAAAAAAGAAAGAAAAGCCAAGTGGTGCACTGCTTATGGTTATAGTTACTACTGCAATATATGTGCACCCATGTTTATAGCAGCGCAATTTGTCATAGCTAAATCTTGGAAACAACCCAAATGCCCATCAATCAAGGAATGGATAAAAAAGGCATGGTATTTTATATAATGGAGTATTACTCGGCTATAAAGAAAAACTAGAAGATTCTATAGGTAAATGGATGCAACTAGAGACCATACTCAAAAGTGAAGTAAATCAGATCCACATGTGTTAAACACCATATTGTCTCAATAGTGTAAGAACCTGAAAGAGTAAATAAAATCCAACAAGTACAATAGATATTGTGAAAGGGAAAGAAATTGCTCAAAGGGAAAGAATAACTGGGATGAGGGAAAGGAGAAAAGAAAGAAAGAAGGAAGGGAAAAATATACGTATATACAAGGATAGCTGGATAATTTTACACTGATGTCTACTGGTTTATTGAAAGGAACAGTTCATGCTTACATTTAAAAAAAAAAAAAAGAAAGAAAGTTACAAATGCTATGCATAGCTGTGAAAAAGAAGGGAGAAGACTTGGTGGCCTGAAGAGGAAAGATTTCCCCCAGGAGGAAGGGAAAGGAAGGGACAGTGTCTCCTGTTTCTCCACATTTGTGCATTGCAAAGGACCCCCCCACTCCATGTAATGGTTGACACATTGTGTCAACTTGAAGACTAGAAGCTTAACTAAGTAACTCAGCAGCTCTACATCCTAGGGTGTAGAGAACCTGCCCTTACTGCTCTAGGATGTTGTTCATGTGTCAACCTGAAAGGTTTAGAAGGTTAACTAAGCAACTCAGCAGGGAATCAGGGTCCTTACCTTGTAAACATCCTGAGCCTGTACAAGAGGAGGGCAGGGAGATAGTGTGGGTGGAGAGCTAGCATACAATGTAAGGGAGGAAACGAGGCTTGCTTTCCCCGCCTTCTTGCTCTTGCTGCTTTTGCTGTTTTCTGCCACTTTGAACTGTTGTCTCTGGGCAATGCCACCCTGCCCTAGAGCTGGCTGACTATGGGCTGAAACCTCCACAAACTGTGAGTTAAATAAACCTTTCCTTCCTTCATTTTGGGTGTTGGGTTCTTTGTCTCAGCAATAAGAAAAAAGTAACCAAGAGAGTATGCATTTACAAAGCATGGGCGGTTCCTGGCGGGAAATGAAGGTGAGGAGTGTGAGGAGAAAGTCTTTGAGTGGGCTGATCATAGGCATGAATTACTTTCCTTACATATTTTAAGTTATATTTTTATTGTATATATATTTTAACTGTTCATGAGAGCTTCCTGGGTGTTATCTTTCTATCCTTCTGTATGTCCAAGGCGAGCTTCCGGTTACCCCCCACCCCCAAGTGGAGCAGAGAGTAAAACTGTGACATTAATCGGGCATCTCCTACCGTGATCTTTTTGTGATCAGGGAACTCCAGGCCAAAATAGTCGCCTTCCACGAGGTTGAGGTGGTTGCAAACTGCATCCAGCAGCACCTTCCCCGGAGCTCTTTGCTGTGAACAGAAAAAAACAGGTGTTACAGTGACACAAATCAGCCGTCACCAAGGACGCCTCCGGACTCTGAGTCCACGGGCTCTGCACAGCTTGCCCTTGCCTCCACCACGATAGCCCAAGCGCCAGCCCTGTCCCTGCTCTGCACACAGACCCTGCTATTCCCAAACTTAGATGCAGTTCTCTGCCATTTTCCCCACCCCAACCTCAGGCACATGTCCTGCCCTTTACTAGCAACAGACTTTTGCTTTTTAGGGCAGTTTTAGGCTTACAGAAAATAGCATTTTCCCCCTACCACACACACAGTGTCCTCTGCTATTAACATCACAGTAGTATCGTCCATTTGTTATAATTATAGAGCACTTACTATCTAGAATTTATAAGAATCACTCTGTACCATAACTGGCATTGACCAATCTATAGTGCCCCATCTCCACCATGACCATGGGAGGCAGAGAAGTTTACTGCATGGAACTGGCTTTGCCTTTAAAATCCTCTGTGCTCTCTGCCTAGCTATCCCTCCTGACTCCTGGCAACTACTAATCTCACTGTCACTACAGCTGTCCTTTGTCAACACAGCAGGGAACTGGAGTCACACAGCATCGAGCCTGCTCAGACTGGCTTCCTTCACTCAGGAATATGCATCTGAGGTTCGTTTCAGTCTTTTGGTGGCTTCATAGCTCGTGTCTTTTGTTATCAGTCACTGATATTCTATTACTCAGATGCACCTCAGTTTGTTTCTATGTCCAACTACTAAAGGGCATCTTGGTTGCCCCTGAGTTTTGGCAATTCTGAATAAAGCTGCAGTAAATATTTGTGTGGACGTAAGTTTTCAACTCATGACCCCAGGGCTTCTTGTGACAGTTGAAATCACATCCTCTCCAGCATCCACAGCTCTTTGGCTTTCTCCTCTAGGTTACTAGGTCACTTTGTGTAATTATCTTCTAAATTAAACCCACTGAAGGTAAAGGCTATCTTTCATTCATCCCTGTATCCACAACCCATTTTGTTGAATGGTTTGTATAAATTGATGGCTAAGAGTTCCTACTTAAGTGTGTGCCCTAAATTAAAATGTGGGCTCCTCAATCATCTTTATATTCCCACCATCAAGCAAAGAACCTGGCACTCTATGTCTGCTATTTATGCCTTGCAATGCCAACCGTACTCAGAAGATGCATGCATATGGTTGGTATTGAATCTGTAGGGAAGAGAAATACTTCACATAAAAATCTATGCAAAGGAACCAAATTTCTACTGTAAAGAGTTTAGAAACAGTGCCTCAGTTTCTCTTTGCAATCTGGTCAATTCCTAAAGATTCACTGGTAAAAAGAATCAAACTCCACCATACAGATTGGAAAGCACTGGCAAACAAATGTTCCAAAGACATCACTACCTACAGTCCCTGGCTTTACACTTTTGCCTTCGCTCTGATAAAAGCAGAACATGTTAGGTACCAATCAGTAACTCAGAGGACTGACAGTGACAAGTGAGGCCTGACAAGTACAATGAGGGACATGTCCGTTAGCCTGTCACTGCACGGGTAGAGGGTCCAATAAAGATGCGCAAGTGTTGTGCACGGACACCTTTTCTTCACAGGTGTCACTGCATGCTCCCATAGCTGCCCTCACCGAAATCTCAAAGATGCTCACAGCTACCTAAAGATGCATGGATCCCAGCATCATCCCAGCTCACCAGCTGCAGACTCTGAAGGTCTGGCCCATGGTCCCAGAGGAGTCATTTCACATGCACCGATGGCAGGGCAAACAGGTGATTGGCAGCAAGCCCTGTTCTTCCCTAGCAAACTCCTTCCCGGCCCAGGCTCACTCATCCAGAAGAATGGACGGAAGACAGCAGCATGGCCACCAGTCTTGTTTTCCTTCACTTCGGTACAGCAACCTGCCTGTCTCAGACACCATAGCACATGGGCAATCCCAGTCGAGCTGCTCAGGGGAGAATGAGCTGCTCTCTAGTGGTCCCTTGTCCTGGGTTCCTGTCCTCCCACCAGCCCCTCAATAGCTCCATGAGTAATTTATCCACAGCCACTTATCCCGGGCCTCCTCTCACACCAGTAACTCCAGTAAAATATGTAGATAAGTAGACCAAAGACTAAGATGCCGTGGAAGAACTCCTTTGTCACACAGCTTCCTCTTTTACAGGAAGACCAAACTCCAATTTCCTAATCCCTTCTTTCTCACAGTTCTTGACACTGCCTGTTTGTAGCAAAAATGAGCCACCAATTATCTGCCTTGCTGTCAGGCACTCATGTTTCCCAAAGAATTCCTGGAACTAAGGGAATTTGATGACTTCATCTAGATTTACAGAGTCTGAGAAGTGAGACTTGGCAGTTCAACGCTGGAAATCCAAACAAGCAGAAAAAAAAAAAAAAAAAAATCAATATACAATGGACGTCTTTATGGCCAGGGTGTTAAACTAAGCACTTCACAGGAGACAGGAGGGTGAGTTAACATCGAAACTGAGTCCTTTTCTGACTCAACAGAGACTCCTGTGACTGTATCGAACTGCTCTTGGTAATAAGGTCAGACAGCACTAAGACCTGGAACCTAAGCTTTGCAAATACTACATGTGCTCCACGAGAAACCAACATGGCATGTGACTGACGTCCTGTAGACAGGTTTGAAATAGAAGCCTGGACTCTAGGTCTTGATGACAAGTTGGGTCTCAATTTGTAAAAATTTTCTTAAAATTCATTATTTTGTACACATATTTATAGAAAATGACTTTTCTATGGTACTGAAATTTTTGTACAGAAAGGCATCAACTTACTGCTTGAGTGATAGCTTTACAATTCTTAAAATTCATCTATAAAGTAGATGCCTATAACATATTCCATGACTTCCCCTTATAGTCCCTGCAGGGCTGTAAGGAAACCCAGCATGCAGCATGACTAGAAAGCATTACTAAGGGCTTAAATGCACCCACTGCAAGACAATTTCATGGGTAAATGCACTCTAATGGGTCCCCTGGACTCAGGGTTAACATCCTAATGTGTACTTGGCTGATACAGTTTAAAACACCTCGGGACATCATGATCCCACGATATATTCCAGGACTTAATTCCTTTTCTTTTAGGAATTGCTACAGAACTGACTGAGTGTATCAATGCACCCAGTACAAGATTCTGCATCTCAGAGAAGAAAGTTAGGGGAAATGTTTCCTTCTCATTCTTGAAGTTATTCCTCTTACCTTAGATTTATGCATTAGGGTAGGATATCATCTCTCTCTATCTGTCTCTAATGTGTTTTTCAATTTCATTCAGAAAGTGATTCTCTTACAAAACACATCATAGACCATAAAATGGTGCTGCTGCTATGGAAAACAGTATATTGAAAAAAAATAAATATAGAATCATCATATGATACAGCAATTCCACTTCTGGCTATAGAACCAAACACTATGAAAGCATGACATTGAAGAGATACTTGTACACCTATGCACATAGCAGCATTATTTAGAAGAACTTAAAGCAGAAAGCAACCCAAATGTCCATCCATGGATGAATGGATAAAATGTGCTATATGCACATGTGTTGATTTTCCATTAATATAATGAAATGTCCAAGGCTGGGTGACTTTATAGAGAAAAGATGCATGTTTAGCTCACAGTTAGGTTGAGAGGCTCAAGAACTTAGAACCAACATCATCATCTTGGACCTGGTGACCAATGGTGAATGATATCACCATGGCCAGAGTGAGTGCAGGGACAAGAAATCACATCTCAAGACAGGAAGCCAAAGAAGCTGGAAAGTTGCAGGCCTGTGCTATTATAACAACCCTCTGTAGATCTCCTAACAACTTCCTTATTCTTTTCCAAGGGCAGCAGCACCAATGACCTAAGGTCCTCCCATTAGGCCCCACCCCTTAAAGACTGCAGCTCCTCAACAGTGTTCCACTGAGGACCAATCTTTCAACACACAAACATATGGAGCGAAAGCCACATCCAAATGATGATGACACACAATGGGATATTCCTCAGCCCTAAGATTCAGGAAGTTCTGGGACATGCTCCTTCATAGATGAACTTTCAGGACGCTCTGCTAAGTGAGCTCTCACAAAAGGGCTCAAATGACTTAAACAGGGAGTTGATTTTCACTGGGAGTTGGAAAAAGTTCAGGAGACAGACTGTGGTGACGGTTGAACAACAGTATGAATGTAGTCAAGGTCACTGAATCGTACACTTAAAAATGGCTACAATTGTGTTTTATGTTATGTGTATTTTACCACAATAAAAAATACAGAAGAAAAATGAGAGAAGTGACAGAATAGAGTTCACCTCTAGAAACAACTAGAGAAGACTACTCACAGCACAATCTGTTAACAGCACTTTTAAGAGTAAGAAAATAAATGAGCCATCTTCTTTACATTATATCCAAGAACAACATTGATGGCAGGACCTCCTCACACAGGGAAAATGAGTGGAAACTGCGTGTGTGCACCAGTTGCTAAGATTTCTCAGCATAAAGAGTTCCTTTATGTGTGTCTGGCAAAAAAAGACACTAAACCCACATATTTGGAAGTAACCACAAATTATGCATTTGGGGGAGGCTTTGCGCTGGGCACCAAGGATGAGATTCCAAAGCTACAAAACCATTGGCTTTTTATGGCTTTAGAAAAGGCCCATAAACGAGTCAATAAAGTTTGAGAGGCGAAAAAGTAGTAAGAGCATAGACTAAGCGGGCAGAACACAAGAAGAGACCCCAAGGAATTAATCTGCCAACGTGTTTTCTCAGAGTAATTTACTTCAGATCAATCACTCTCAATCTTTCAGTCTCTCAGTCTATCTCTCTTCTGGCTGCTCAAACATTGGGAGGAGAAACTGAATTATCATTTGAAAATCTATATATTTCAGTAATGGTTTAATATGAAGGAGATCTGATGGCAAATGAACGTATTCTCAGGTGTCCCCAACTGTACTCAAGGTGGGGCAGATCTGTAACAGTCCTATCATGTCTAAGAACCTGACTCCATACACTACCAATCTTGAT